CAAAATAACCCTATATTTCTTAATACCTACCTCTTTTGTTTGAAGTGGCTGAATTGTGCTTTAATAAATCTCCCTCGATCAATCCTTGCTCAAAGTTGAACCACAGGCACAAGTTTACAGCTTGTGTGCCTGCCAGCTAATGTACGTGCTCAGAATTGGAGAAAAATCTTCTCTGCCATGACCATAAACAGTCACTGAGTCAAGGAGTATTACCCCAACATATCGTCCCATTTTCTTAAATAAAGGTCCATTGAAATTACCTTAAAATAATTCTGTCCCAGAGCTTAATAATATGTGGGCAGAGTTGTTTGGCCCAATCAACCTAGCACTGGTTGCGTCATATCTTAGTTAAAATAAGTAACCATCACTTCCAAGTCCATAAAGCCTAAACAAATACTATTTTACCTTCATAAAATCCTAAAGGTATGTAGAGAAAACTCACTACACTATCTCTCTTGAAAGCATTTAGTAAACCGCCTAATCCAGAAAAAAAACAGCGAACTTCAGTACCACACCTGCCTGTCTGAAGGAAAGTTTATCGAGTTTTTATGAAGAGCATTCTCCGGTTCACACAACAATGACATTCTCATCCAATTTCATCTTCCTTATAAATCATCTGGCATTACCCAGGATTGTCTTTACAAACTCTCCACACAAACCAATATGAGTACAGTAAATGAACCAGACTGAACCAGCTGGTACTTGTTGACACAGTTGAAATTTCATTTTTGTTTCTTTGGAACTGAACCTAACCATTTGGCTGGATTGTCCAATCTACGGAATTTTGCTCACCCCTAATTTCTCCAATGCAATGTGATACTTCATCAAGAATCAAGATTTTATGCAAGTTCTGATCCATGATTATATGTTAAGCACTTTGAATGCAGAATTTTCCACCTCGTTGTTATCAAAAGGGCAGTGTCCTGCCCAAATATTTTCTACACCATTTCGTTTTCCAATGCTTCATATAGGATAAGTGAGCTGCCCCCATCTATGCTTTGTTGATAAATACTTAGTATTTATTCGAACGTTCTTAACTAAACTATTTATATAATTTTTTATTAAATCAAGTATATGAGTTCCTAAATAAGAACGAGTGAAAAAATCTTATGCTCAGACTGCACTATGCGGATATTTACACAAACCCACAGCATTGCACGCATTCAAAAGGCGGACACACCACACTGCGTGTGTTAACTGTCATACTTGGAAGATTCTATGCTAGTTCCAGAATCCCAGTGCAATGGACCAGGACATAAGATGGGTGAGTATGTGTTCACGTAAACAAAACTCAATGTGTGCTACCATTTGTCGTTCACTTTAGCATGTGTGCACATCTAACAACGTAGTACACTATACCTGAGTATGTCATAAAAATTCTTGTTATGCTCCACGAGAGAGTCATGTTTGGTCCTTATTATTGCATAAAAATAATATTAAAAGCATCTTCCCCATTAAACAACATAGTACATTAATCTTTAACATGTTCCAAACAACAATGTGCCTGTGTTTGGCTCATTGTTTTGTAGGTGTTCATAAACACCTTGGTGAAAAAACACCTTTGGTCGAATCACTTTTTGTCCACAGATTTCATAGGACCCACAAGTAGTAACCAACTTTCCATTACTATTTTCTCATGTTTATAAACACCTTTCCAAGACATACACTAAGACTAGCTAACCGGATCTCTAAAATTTTCTAAATATGCTTCTGATGCAAAATAACATTTCTTCAGAAAAAAAGGGAACAGAAAATTTCAATAGTTTGATGTATTGAGTGAACCAGCGACATACAAAAGACAAGCATGTACAACATGTGCACACACACACACATATATAATCCTAGAAGAACAGCCCAGAAAATTTAGCCTTGCTACTCCCCAACCGATTGTTTTAAAACTTGAAAAACCCTCCACAATCTTCAGAAAGAAAACCTGAATTTAGTCAGTCGACAACTTCATCTTCATAAGGATCCAATGATCCATAGTTGAGAAATACTGTATCCTTATCAGGTTCTACTCTTAAATCATGACAAGAATGTATATTAATTAAATCCAAGGACACAAGTCAAACAATCATCGATGAAAAAACTTGGCATGCAAAGTAGTAATCCTTAACTCACAAAATTACCCATTTCTCTCCTATATTACAACTTCAGAAGTAGATTAAATAGCACGAGTCAAACTAAAAAGTTAACATAAACCCAGAATATCAACATAACACCAGAACATCGAAGAAAGCAAGAGACGGAACCTTCTTGAGTAAAATACATTCTTTTTCTCCGGTACGAAAACATCAGCATTGAGAATATTGCCACCTCTTGAAGCTATGCATTCCGACAACTTTGCCACAATTCCAACCGCATCCTAATTTTTGAAAAAATCATAAATTCAAATTCCCATCTCCCTATTTCATAAAAAAACATATATAAACTTCATATTCACACATTCTTGTCAATCAAACATTTATATGCTTAATCTGAACATAACCAGACTTACTGGGCAATGGAAAACGTGAATGCCATGGATGAGAGAAGGAGAGGTCATTTCATCGAGAGATTCACCAGGAAATTTCAGAGATTTGATGGACCTTTTTGTAAATAATTGAACTTGAGGGGAAAATCTTCGGAGGAGGCTCATGTCCGAAAAAAGGGGGAAAAAAAGGAAAAAGGAAACACAACACAAAATCTCTGTGTATGTGTGTCTGAATGGAAGAGAGACCACCAAGAATTCAGGCCCTTATCTTCAAGCCTTCAAATCTGGTAGGGATTGTTATTGATTTTTTCCTCCTGTCAGTTTGCGGTTGTTAGTGGTCAATCATAGCCGTTAAGTGATGTTGATTTTGAAGGTTACCACATTTTTGCTTTTAATATATTAGGAAACAGATGAATAAAGATGCTATGCTAAGGGTAGGCAAAAAATCGACCGACCCGACGAAATCGACCGGATCGACCCAAACCGCTCGGTTTGAGTTTGTTTTTTGCATTTTTTTGGCGGTTTTCAATTTTCGGATTGGGTGGTCGGGTTGGGTCGGGTCGGTTTGCGGGTTGGGACCCTAAACCGGATAGAA